GCGGTGGGTTCCACTGCTAAAATGCAAACCCCCAATCTCCTAGATGAATGGCATGGTCCATCACACTCAGGACTGTGGCAGGGCCAGGGCTCAGCCTCCCTGCCTCCTTGCAGCCTCTGTCTAAGGGGTTGAAAGTCACTGCGGGGGAGCTGGCAGAACAGCTGTCCCCTAAAACCCCATGTTCCATGGCCTCAGCCTGCCGGTAGGTCTGCATACTCCAGTGTGCTAGCTGATCACACGAGCACCCTGTGGCGTCACAGTCCTTGGGTGTACGTCCTCGTGCAATGAGGCGGGAAGCACCTGCGGCTTCGTATAGCACAGACCCTCAGGCCAGCCTGAGGCCCTAACCCAGGAGGCATGGGTGCGACGTGGCTTGTCTGAAACCATGTCCTGGTGATGGCTAAGGCACTCCTGGTTAGGAGGCAACTCACTCTTCACCTCCAGGCCAGAAGCACCCCGCCTCCCCACTGGGAACAAAATGCAAATGCCCCTGGCAGTTGGATGTGCACGTGCCTTTCCAGAGCTATTTTCACTTGAAGAGTGACACAGGAAGTGGGTGGAGAGACCAGGGTGGTATGTGGCCTGGAACCCAGCAAGGCTGCCCCAGCGCTCAGGCAGGAGCTGTGAGGACGGGCCATCCCTCACATCTGGGAGAGAGCCAGATGTGCGAAGCTGTCAGTCTCAGAGAAGCAGCCCTGGCTGACAGCTCGCAACAGAGATTAAAACATTCTCTTGGCGTCAGCAGCATGAAATGGTTACAAGATTGATCTCTACACAAATCCAATATGGCCTCTTGACAATCAGAAAAGAGTCCGTGCCCATAATCCTTCCCAGCCACGGATAAATCACACTGCTTTGGGAAACTCATATCCCATTTTGCTGACAGCACATAAACACTGACTCTCTTTACAGTTTATTTTTAATAAACAAGTCCCACTGTGTCTCTTCCAGCAGCTAAAGGTTCCCCTTAGGGCAGTTTCCTAGGACAAGTTGAACTGCTGTTTAGAGCAAATTATTTCTCGTTGCTTCTCCTGACCCACATGTAAATAAGTGTAGAAAAGCAGGGCTCTGGCCTGGCTGGAAATTCAGGCCATAAGCTACAGGGAAAATGTCACCTCTCTGTTACTCTTTCCTCTTAAGATCTGATACTACGTGATAAGTGATATGCAGCGGTTAGCAAGGAGAATGAGACTGTCTGTACCTCACTAAATAATCCAATGAATTCCTGCCCTAAGTTTGTCCCAGGTGGAATCTGAGTCAGTAGCAGAGAGTAATCCAAAGGCAAACACTCTCTAACTCTGTTCATTTAAATAGATTTTTAGCCTCTCAGTCACTGTGACTGTTCTAAGCCCGTCACAAACCGAGCGAGGAGCAGGAAGCAGCAATTGTACCAGGACCCACGGCACCTGAGCCCCACCTCGGTTACCTGTCTGCAGGTATAGGTCTCCATTGGTCCTGATGACCCAGGCTGTGTCCTCACTCAGCGCCACAAACACTGCCTGCGGCAGAGCCTCGTACCAGTGTCGCTTGCCCCGGATGGTCACTTTCCCACAAGCGAAAGCTCGGTTCGATTTCTGTTCAATCTTCCAGAGAAGGGCTCCTGTGGAAATCAAAATTCTAGTCACCGTCCAAAGAATACTGAGAATCACTTACACACAAGACTTCATTCTGGGTGCTGTGGGGACAGAGATTTCTAAAACACCCCACCCTTTGCATCAACCCCAAACAAGCACCCAGGTTGGATGCCAGCTGTGTGGCTCTGGCCGTCACGTCACTTCACGTCTCCAAGCCGCATTTCCTCATCTGTGACACAGGGATCATCCCTGCTTTAGAGGGTGTTAGAAAGCCTGGAGGTGGGAGTGTTACCAAGGACACAGCACACAGGGCTGGGCACCTCACAGGCACCCATCTCCAAATACGAGCAGGGTGACATCGTTAGCTTGCCGAGATGAGTCCCCAGTAAGCACCGTGCGGCACAACCAGTGTCCGGAGAGAGGCTGAGGGTCGTGCAGGGTCCCTTCCAGACCAGCTACACGGACAAGGTGCATGAAAAGGAAGCATTTGAGCTGGGCCATGCTTTCTTCACTCAGAGAGGGGCTCTGATAAGCAGAGATGAAGGAAGGGAGGGAAGGAGGGAGAGAGGCAAGAAAGCCAGGCGGGCTCTCTGTAGATGGAGCGTGTGGCACAGGCCGGGCACTGAAGTGTAAGGAGCTGCAGGCCTGAGCATCACCAGAGCACAGACGGGCTGGACCAGAGGGCCTGACGAGGAGCTGGAGGATGGGCGGCAGTAGGACAGATGGCCACGGGGCACAGGGCCCTGGTCCCCACTGAGGATGTGGCCCAAAGGCCGTCTCGGCCCAGAACGCTAGCCTGGTGGAAACAGAGTTCTTACTCGAGCAACAAGGGACTGAATGGTTTGGAAACACAAGGTAATTAACATAATCAGGAAAGAACCAAAGTTTCTAAGTGGCTGGGAAGATGAACCCAAAGGTAAGTGACAGAAAAAGAATTAAAACACACAATTACATAACGCAGCTAATGGAGTAGGTTATTATCTCAGTCAGTCTCCAAGGAGAAATATTTTTCAAATAAGCAAAGACGTAAAACAAAGCAACCCTGAACAAACTAGTATTTAAATAGTGACAAAGATCAGGGAGAGTTAAGGGAACTCCATCGTGAAGCCACAGAGGACCAGTCTGAGGTCACAGGCTGAGTTTCCTCTGACTTCCCTTCCAATGTCCTAACCATGAGCCAGGTACTACAAGGCAAAGAAACACATAAGCACACCTGTGCTACCTGCCCACCTCCAAACAGGTGAAGTGACCAACAGGACAAAGCAGAGGAGCAGATAGGGGAGGTATTTCATTCAAGCAGAACCTCATTCAGGAAATGTCTGCTCCAATGGATCACTAAAAATGGCCTCCTCATGGCATGAAAGAATGAATGGAGTAGATTACCCACCCAAAGACTATAGACAGCTCATTTAAAATAATTTCTAAAAAGGAAACCAAAGTCCGAACACATCCAACATATGCACGGGCCCATCTTTACTAGTTCAGCTGCGTTAGTGCAACACAGAAACAGAAACGCATTCTATTTTTATAAGGAGTTAGCATGGTAATATCTCTCAAAATCTAAGCTATTTGTATAGCTTACAACAATATGTTCACGTGTTGCCACTGAAATTAATAAAAAACCAAAAATTCAAACTGCACACCCATCTACACTGTTTACTAACTGATATCAGACGAAGCAATTCATGTTCTTTGAAGAAAACACCTCCCCCTGGTGGGAAAGGCCAGTCTTGAACAGACTGCAGTTGCTGCGGGGACCCTGTGCTAGGGCGGCTCCACCTAGGGTGGGAGACTCCACCTGGGGCGGGAGGCGCAGGGGAGGCGAACCTGAGGGTGAGACTGCCACCTGCTGGACGGCGTCTTCAAACTTCTGCCAGCGCAGCCCCGCGCCTGGCAACGCACTGCAGAACAGGCCGCCTTTGTAGTCCAGGCACCAAATGTACTTCTCGGAGATCGCCAAGCTGAGGATGCCATAGCCGGGGCCAGAGTAGCCCATCCAGCTTTCTGCAAACTGACAAGGACAGAGCCCGATGAGGGCTGTGCAACTGCCACACTCACTGCACTTGCCGTACTGCTGTCCACAAGAAAAGTGTGCAGGATACCACTGAAATCAGAGCTGAAGGGGTCTTCCAGAAGCCATGCGGAGACCCGCCCCCGCTATCTTCGGGCCACGCTCTAACAGAGGCGTCCTGAAATGGGAGCTGTTGTCCCCGCTAGCCCCCGCAGCATCCCTGGGTAACACCTGGCAGTGTTAGGACATCCTTCCTAACGTAACGCTACATTGTAAGGATGTGGCTTACAATGCACACATCCACTCTGCAGGCATACCTCCCTTTACACAGAGAGACGTGTTCCTGAGCACTTGCCCGCGAATCGATGTTCTGTCCGTCACATCATCACAGATGTGTGAGGGAAGCAGCACACCGCTATCTGTTTTCCCACCACATTTTCTCAAGCATTGTTCCAATCACCGGTACACCATGTGGCCGATGGAAATCTGGTCAGGACGCTCTGCCTGACTGAATTTGTAGCGTAAGGTTCAGTTGCTGGGATTCTTTTAAAAAATCAAAGCTAAATAAAGTCTTTGTACTTCAACAAAAGAAACTGCAAAAGAAATCAATGTATTTGCACAATTTCCCACATACGGAAGTTAACTGCTTCAAAAAGAATGGGGTGCTGCCCCTTTCAGTCTGGCCCTGCTCACCATGACAAGACTTATCTACCGTCCCGACCCCCGCCCCACCCCCACCCCCCCTTTCCTGGCTTTCCAGCTCCCCGGAGGGGCTGCGGAGCTGCGGGGGGGGGGCCTTGAAGGCGGGGGACAGGTCCTCAAAGTGCTAGGCTCCCTGTTCCCAGGGAAGGGCTCTTGTAAAGTTCTGGCCTAGAACCCCCATGGCCCACCCCCACAGACCCATCTGCCGGTAACGTGGGCATTGGGCGGGCGCCCCTGCTGACTTCCCACAGTCCTGTGCCTCGCTCATCACCAAGCCGAGTCCCACTCAAGGGCACTCGTGTCTGGTTCCTCCCTGAGACTGAGATCCGCGATCAGCGGGCCCTGGCACCAACAGAGAGCCTGGCAGCCTAGGCATCCGAGAAGGGAAGGACGTGGGAGCCAGAGGTCTAGCCTTTCGGCATTCTGCCTCAAAAAAAGCGAGCAGTGCGCGTCTCTTTGGAGGCCAGGCAGCACAGAGGCGGAGGGGGCCCAGGGCCAGCCCTGCCCTTGCTCTGTGACCCCTGCAAGCCATTCAACTGTCCTCAGTCTCAGTTTCTTCCTCTGTAAAACGGGACCACCAGGTACCTACTTCCTGGCTTGTTTTGTTTTTAGAGAAGTAAATGAATTAAACTTGTGAAGTGCTTAGCATGGTGCCTGGCTCACGTGAGCTGCCCAGATGTCACAATTAGCACTGGAAGACCCAGCGGTACATGTGGGGAAAGCACATGGGGCTCTAAGTTCTCGCTCATAATCTACACCTCACGTCTCCTTAATAGGAAAAGTTACAACACACGGTGTGTTCTGAAACCAAGTACCTCTAACAATGATTACTTGTTGAGGAAAGTAAGCACTTTTGAACAATCACTTTCTTCTATAAAATGCCCAATAACAGTCAATGATCGTCTTCTGGGTGCGTGGGCTGGGTGACCCACAGACCACTGGACTCCCAAGCCTGGTTTCTGCTTCACCTCTGGCCGAGGGCACAGCAGCCTGAGGGGCTGGCCTCTTGGCTCTGCAGAGGTGCCGGTCTGAGGAGGCGGGTAGGAGGCTCCTGGTGTCCCACCTGCTCAGAGCCCCCCCCAAGAGTGTGCAGCCCTCTGACCCTGGTTTTCTGGAAAGGCCCCAGGCCAATTCAGCCCTTCCCCGAGATGACTGACACGCAGCACCCATGCTGGATGAGATGCGATTTTGCTTTTGCTGGTGAAGCGGGTTCCTGAGCAAGGGCATGACAGGTCAGCACTAGACCAGCCCTTCAAGGTCCCGTCGGAAATCCCCCCAAACCTAGACTTGAAAACATGTGGCCTACAGGTTTTGCGGTAGAAATATAATTTCTTTACATCAGAAGAAAAATAATCAGTTTGCCAATGATTGCCCTTAAGAAAGACGCCCACACACCTGATCTGACTTTAGCAGCCCAGTGTCATCGGTGGCTGGCTGGCTCAGGTCCTGCGGGGAGTGACTGCCTCCCAGCTCTGTCACGCTCATCTCCGAGGATGAAGAGGGCAGACCGTGGGCATAGATGTCCTCCTCATCACTGGATGTCAACACCTGGTCCCGTGAAGGCTGCTCGAGGTGAGGCTCGAGGGCGCTGGCCGCCACGGCAGAGACCAGCGGAGCCGGCTGTCTGCCCACCCTTCCCAGCTCACATTTGGAAGAGACCCCTGCTTGCTGGCTGGCATCAGGGACAGCATGCCAGGGATTTGAGCTGAGGTGGCTAGGGGCCCCTATGTGGCCTAGAAAGCCCTGCTCTTCGCTGGGCTCCTCGGTACTGCCCTCATCAGCTCTGGTCCCCAGCAGCCAGCCCTCAGCACTGGGGGCCCAGCTGAGGCTGGACGGCACTGGCGGTGTGTCCAGGAGGGGTGCTTCAGAAAATGTGCTTTGGGGGTCATCAGGGTCCCAGCCCTCCCTTTCTTGGGCCTCAGCAGAGCTGTCCTGTTCTTGGCAGGGTGACTGTCTGCCACTCAGTCCGTCGTCCACAGGACATGGCTCCTCCTCGAGTTCTGTGACGTCACCTCCTTCCCCACCTTCCCCCGATTGTGAGAGTGAATGCAACAGCCCACTGTGCGGCTCGGGCTCGCCTTCGAGGTTATGTCCTAAGCTTTCAGTCCTACTGTCATCCTCTTCATTCTGTAAGTCAGAGGCGGGTTCAGGCACCTCCAGGACACTAAATGCTTCCGGGTCACCATTGGCCTCGCTGCTGAGATTGCTCTCCTGGTCGGGAGACTCTGTGCTCAACTGGTCCACGGTGCTGCCCAAACTTGAGGTCAAGGACAGCAGGTCTGTGTTGAGGGACTGGGGGCTGTCACCAGGAAACTCAGAGCAGGGAGTCGATTCAAGGGAGCTGTGGTAGGTGGTCCTGCTTCCGCCTTCTAATTTAAAACAAGGATGTTTAAAATGAGGTATGGCTCTACATGAAGACATGAATTAAAAACCAAAATTTTGACTCTAAAAAAATACATTTTAAATGAAGGATGTTTAATGGATGAAGAATAAATCTCTTAAGTACAAACTATCCTAACACAGGGATGTTTTAAGTGGATGTAAATATCCCACACACAATGGACTCTGAGACCTCAGTCACAAAATGTTAAACGAGAAAAAAAAAGGAACGAACGGATCATAGACCAATTTTTAAAAATTATTAAAATGCTTAGGAATCCAATAACATTTCCCTCCAATACTGCAGTAATCTTTAGCGAGGGAGGCTCAACAGGCACCAAGGAGTCAAAAGTTAGATATTCAACATTAAAGCCCATATCCGATAACACATCCAACACTAAACATAAAATGAGCCATCTAGGTGCCAGGGTAAGGCTTGTTTGTGTCCATGACTTTCCCTCCAGGTTCACAGACTCCTGGGTCTAATAAACAGTATTCACGAATAAACCAAAATTTTTATTGCAATATTGAAAAGTGGAAAACCCAGGTTCATTAGGCAGGGTGCTGAGCACAAAGGTATGTCACTGTCTGAACTTTACAGAGACGCTTTACTTGTGCACATAACATACCACATTTCATGCCACAGCTCCTTGGGGGGGGGGGAGGGTGCATGTGCTGTCTGTGAACGGAAGGGCACGTGCTCACGCAGGACAAGCAGCGTTCCTGAAGCCCCAAGAGGGAGGGCTGGCGTGGCTCTGCCGTAGACCTACCTGTCTTCTTCCGCTTCTTCTTTTTCACTCTGAGAGGCTTCACGACAAGCTCCTGGTCGAAGTCTTCTGAGCTGATCACGCTGAACCTCTGTGTGGCAGGCTGGCCGCCCTTGCCTGGCTCTGGGGCTGCCTGGGTCCCCGAGCCGCTGTCGGTGGAGTTGAGCGAGCTGCTCCTGCTCCGCGGCTCGCTGGCCACGGACATGCCCCTGAGCCTGGTCTCGGAAGCCGTGGCCCCCGCTGGCTTCTCCACATGCTGCACGTGGGCCTGTTCTGCGCATCCCGGCGGCTCCAGACCATCTCGCACTAAGAAGATTCTGGTTTTAGTGGTGTTTACCCGAGAGAAAGTGATGTGCTCTTTCTTATTCACACTAACCTGCCCTAAATACCAGCCTGCTGAATTCAGAGGACTGGCAAAACGAAAGAATCGCACAAGAGAGCCAACGAACAGTTTCTGTCCTCCAGGAAGCTCATTATCAAGATCAGTAAGTGACCACCACTGTCTTGTAAATAACTCAACAGGAAGGGAATGCCACCAAGGATGGAGCAGGTCTCTCTCACAAATCAAAAGGGCTCAGTGCTATTGTATACTCATCCTCTGACTTGAATAACTTCAGTACTACTCAAAGGGCATTTGAAAAAGGTGTGTGTACCTGTAATTACAGTTCTCAGATTTTACGGAGGGGAAGGTAAGTTTCCACTAAGACAGACTTAAGCTTATTAAAGCCATCAGCGTCCCGGGCAAGCAGAGGGCAGAATGAGAAGCGGGTGGCAGAATGTCACTTCCTGTGCCCTGTCCCCGTGACTATCAGCCTGCTGGACTGGTTCCAGCCATAGTCCCCTCAACCCTGGACCACAGACCACGGTGACCCACTCAGCCATCCTTCTGTTATGGAGTGTCTACTCCATGCTGGACGCCGTTCTAGGGGCTCAGACATGGCCATCTCTCAGACAGACAGACAGACGGGGCCTCCTATTCTCTGCTGGGGTCAGGGGCAGGCTGCAGCCTCCAGAGCGCACACTGGGGACTAGAAGGGCAGGACCCTGCAGAGTGATGCCCAGGGTAGGGGAGGGACTTGAAGATTCCACAAGCTACGGGCAGATCTCCTGTAAAGCTGCACCGTCCAGTACAGTAGACACTAGCCAAGTAGCTATTTAAATGCAAATTAATTAAAATGAAAGACTTAACATTCAGCTCCTCAGGTGCACAAGCGCTCAGCAGCCACGTGTGGACCGTGCTGACACAGCGTGTCACTGCAGAAAGGCCTGTGGACAGCAGGGGTCTGTGCTTCTCTTCTGCAGGCTGCCCCTCATTGCACTGCTAAGGGCCCAACTCAGACGCTCAAGTCGGAACTCATTCCCTTTCGTATGAAACCTGATTTGGAATAACATTCCTCCCAACGTGCCCTCTGTGACTTAAAGAGGCAATTTCTCTCCATCTCTTAGAGATTGTAATTTAGGACCAAGGAAGCTCCTTCTGCGTTTTCGTCTTTCCAAGTGCTCAATACCCAGCTAATGTGAGACTGTTCTTTCTACTTTTCCGTTAGCACTGCAGAAAGGTACAAATGGTAAGGTCCCGTGCAGGCGGGTCCGGGCAGCCTGCGCCCGTCCTGTGCCCAAGGGCAGGGCAAGCGGCTGCCTCCGCAGCCTCGAGGTTTGTAGTCAGCCACCCCTTCCTGTCCAGGGCCCTGTGCCCTCCTGCAGTTACTCAGACGTAGCTCACGCTGAACAGAGAGAGGAGAAGTAACAGAGAAGATGGCCTGTGGCCGAGACGCCACGGAACCCCAGTGAGCCCACGGCTATAGCAAAGCGCCAACCTCCTGAGTAATGGGAGGCAGAGAAATGCCAGCCGGAGCAGAAATCTGAGCAGTGGTTGGGGCGTGTCCCCCACTACCCCAATCCTCGGCTTTTTAACCTATGAAATGAGGATATCCCTTATTACCAAACACGTGCTAAGGTCTCTGATGCAGCCGCGTTAGGGTCACAAGATCCTTGCAACCAAAATATGTATTCCTCTGTGAGGTAAGAAAACGTCTCTGAAGTCAAAGCAGTGGTAGGAAAAAGGCCCCCGGAACTCAGTGAAGAGCGGGGGAGACGGACTTAACTGAGGCACCCGGGGCAAGTATCACAAATGCAGTGGCCCCTGCACTGGGTGGGGTGCAGGGGACGGGAGAGGCATGGGGCAGAGGGCAGCGCCCCAGCAGAGGCAGGCCACATTTGGGGGCACCTGCACGTGGTGTCTGATGTGTCCAGGGCACCAGGTAAGTGGGGGGAGCCGGCAGCAGTAGACTGGAGAAGCCCTGCACACCACCCCATAAATGGTGGCAAGAGGGGCACGGCCAGCACAGAGAGACAAGGCCCTGACAACCCCAGGCAGGAAGGCGGCCTGGATGGGAACAGCGGTCGTTTCACACAGGTTTGGTAGGAGAGTCAAACAGGGCGCCTGTGAAACTGCTCTGTGAACTTCAGAGGCCACACAAATGTGGGGGCTCTGGGGCCAGACAGGTGCCTCCCACGCGCCGCTCACGAGTCGCAGTGCTGGTGTCTGAGGGACCCTCATGGCACCTCACGAAGCCTCAGCTTCCTAGCTGTAGGCTCAGGGCCTTCCATACGGGGCTGTTCGGAGGGTTTTGTAAGATCACGCATGTAAGTGTTTAGCGCACTTAGAACATAGCACACGTGAGTGAGAGCAGGGCGGGGGGGGGGGGGGACGACACACGCACAGCTGTCATCATCAGGAACCAGCCCGAACACGTAAAGCACCGCGGATGTGTGCATGAGAATACATATCAAGATCCTCTGCTCATTAGAATTTGGGCTTACATGAATTACACAAACAGCCAAAGGCACGGAAGATACTACTACAAGTAAGAACTGTGCAAAGGGTAAAAGACATGTCCTAGACGACAGAGCTTAAGGCTCTAAAATTTTATGCAAATCTATGTGTTTTGGAGCATTAATCCCACACGCGTTCCAGACTTGCAGGGATCAGTCAGGTGGGCACGGAGCTGTCCCTCCTACTCGCCCAACCTCCCACCTTCCAGACCCAGGGGAGCAACTCGACCAAACGGGGGACCCTGTCTGACATAGGCCGTCAAGTGGGTAACCTTCAAAAGAAGTACTGCAAATGATATTCTAAGAATCATAGAAACCCTCCAGATACCTCCTTGATTAGATGGCTACAATCATTTAACTAGCAAAATGGTAAGTTTTATAAATTACAAACGGCAATTACATACACACAGCACATTTATAACCAATACAAACCTATTGATGCTAGTCCTTCAGGCCTGCTCGAAATTCTTATAATGTTCCTGTCTCCCTTTAAGAGAAATATTTCATTTTCTGTGCAGGAAACAGACACGATGTCACCTGATCCTTCCAAACCAGCAATTGTGGCCTGTCCAAAAACAAACAAAACAAAACAAAAAAATCACAAAACCCGGCAATAATAACAGTTCAGAGCACACGAGCACGTGTGGGAGCCCAGAGGAGTCAGACGTACCTGCACTTTGTTACGACAACTTCAGGAAACTCGGTGGAGGAATTCAATCCAAAGTCAGGGAATATCTGACAGATATGTGACTTGGACTTGTAAACCTTGCCAGTAAATTTACGTGACTGAGCGAGCAGTCTGTCCCCACCTCTCGGCCACTCCCTGGACCATGTCCTCACTTGCTCCCCACTCCCTGTGACATGGGGCTCCCCTTCTTGGGGGGCTGCCTGTGGCCTCACACAACCGGCCTCCTGCCCTTGTCCGTTTCGGGCACATACAGCCGCCTGTCTGAGCCCAACCTGTTCCCCCGGACGCCATGCCTCTGCTTGAATATTCTTCCTGTCCCTTGTTCCCCAGAACAGTTCCAACTCGATTCAGATGCTGCCTCCTTGGCAATCAATGCCCAGGACTCCTGCGCGCTCACTGCGCTTTATACAACCGCCGTCTGGCACATCACTGCTGGGCCAGAATATGTGCCCACAGGCCTAGACTCCCCACTGTGCACAGTCATGTGGGAGAGAGATGCACTCGGCTGCGGTTCTGAATGAGTAAATGAAGGGACACAGGGTTCCTCTAATGTCACATCAGAGCAGACAGCAACCAAACACAGGACTTCCTGAGCCCACACTGAATTTTAAAAAAGTTTTGCTTTTCAGTCAGCAGTATAGATAAGAGACCAGTTCACTGGAGAAGAGGAAGTGGTCTGAGCTCATTGTTATTTCTTAAATAACCCTGACGAGCTGGAAACAGGCCAGTGGTTTGAACGCTGCCCATCATGCTGGCATGCTCAGGCTCTGGTGGTGACCAGGCCGGTTCAGGGAAAGCCCTATCTCCATCTCTCCACCTGTGGAATGAGGTTAATTACACCCATGGAAGAAAGCACTGGGGAGTGCTCGGAGGAGAGGAGCTGACATGCAGTCACCACATGTCTGCACCCCACTAAGTGCCAAGGGCGTTCAAAGAGCGCCGGCAGAAAGAAGTTCTTTGTAACTGGGGAACAGTGCAAAGACGGCCTTCAAAACGTTCCTTAAGAAAAAAAACAAAGTCAGGGCTAAAAGGCACCTTGTGGCCCCGTACCGCCTCACTCCTCCCCTCCCATGCACGTCCCAGGGGAGGGCGCCAAGAGGCTGCGGCTCAGAGGCAGAACCAGGCTCGACTCCTCTAGAAGAGGACAAAGGTTCCAGCCTGGTCCTGCCTCCTCCGTCAGCTCTCTCTCCACCGCACCAGCGTCCACCAGCGTCACCAGGCACAGCTGAGGACAGCTATGAAGGCTTCGGTGAGGTGCAGATGACCTCAATTTCTGTAGACACACTCCAAGTAAGAAAACCCTTTAACTTCCACAGCAAAGCTCTGCTTGTGAAAGAACAGGGTGTCTGTCAGAGGCCTGCTGGCTTCAAGGATGGGAAGCTGAGCCCAGGCGGAGGATGGGCGTGGGGTTGTCCACAAAAGGGCAAAAGCTCTGTCTGGAGGTGAGGAGAAACTGAAACGGAACAGTTGTTTTCTTAAGTTCTTATATCTGACTAACAGTAAAAATCTGTTATACCTTATTTAAACAGAAATTGTTTCCTACCATGATTTAATGATGCTGGAAAGTTATCCAAGATACATCACTAAGTGGAAAGAAAAAATGGCAAAATAATGTGTCTCCATTTGGGTAAAAGAACAGGGTAGAAAGAAAGCTGGAGAGAGACCCGTGTGCCGCTCGGCGGCGTCCTGGTGAGGGCTCGGAAGTGACTCCTCTCTGTCACACCTGAGTTTTCATTACATTCACTCATAGTCATTTGGTAGTCAGGAAAAATATGATCCAAATAGACTATGAAGAACAAGTTTAATTTTGTGCTTAAATACAAAAAACCCCCACACAATTTCTTGGAGGGAGGCAAGACTATGAATATCAAAACCAAGTATTTTTTCAAATATACAGAATTAACCAAAGCTTCATTTGATTTCCTTGACTGACCCAGAGGAAACAGTAGCATGTACACTGCTTCCTCCAGCATTCGGAGAGGCAGGTAAGCATTCCCTTGCCTTTGGAGGCCGAGATGTGGTGTGGCCACTTCACTTACCTGGTTGATGGTGTCAAGAAGGTAAATACTATATTCATTCCAACTCAAAACCCAGCCTTCTTGGAAGAAACATGAAACAAGCCCCAGGTGTTTCTCAGGTAAGCTGCCACCTCCCCTGTCGCAGGATTCCAGACGCGGGTACAGTTCAAAAGGCTTGACTCCTCCAGCAAAGACATCTTTTAAGATAAACGTGGCTTGAACCGTCCCATGGATGTCAGCCTTCCACAGCCGGAGCCCCGGCCGCGATGCGTACAAGGTTAGATCGCTTTGCTTACAAAGTCCTGGTATAAAACAAGCACCAAACTTCCCAGTGCTGAAATTACAAGAGAAAAAGAAAAAATGGACACAGACTGATTTAAAGGGATCATGACAATCCTGATATTAACCATAACAGAAATTTCTTGGCTAAGCCTAAACAAGATTGATTTTTTTTCAAACCCTTTTCTACGTTTCTCTTGTTCACTGACCGACCTACACTGTCATCCCAGCGCCCGCAAGGACGAGGTCTGTCTCACAACCCCCCAGTGGTGTGTGCCCTGATGAGCACACTTCCTGGTTTCAAGGTCTCCACTTACCGACCGTGTAATCGCTGTGGCTCGTGCTGTGCCCGGTGCTTTAGCTCCACTCTCATTTAATCTTCACGACAACCCTGGGAGGTGAATCTTACAACTCCCGTTTTAGAGAAGAGGAAACTGAGGCAGGAGGTGACAAATGCAGGTGTGCCCACCCTCTCCTTGCTCTGAAATTCTGCTCCTTCTACTATCTGATTGCCGGGCTCACTCCAACACCCCCATGAATGAGTCTGGCCTTAGGGTCGAAGCAGCGCTTTCAGAATTACTCTAAACCATTGAAGGGACCGATTTTCCTTCTAGTCCCCAGGCCTGGTATTTTTTTGTATTTTAAAAATTATGAAATATCTAACACAAAGAAAAGAATATATATATATATATATATATATATATATATATATATATATATATATATATATATATATATATATATATATAAATAATTAATGAACTAGACATTCGGGAGCCCGTCCCTCAACATTGGAAATAAACCACCAGCGGCATCGCTGATGCACTCTCTTGCTCCTAGAAGCTCCTGCCCGCTCTGTTCTCCAAGCGTGACCACCAGACTGAATTCCGTGTTGTTCCCTTGCTTTTACTGGTAGTTTAGCCCCACAGCCATGCATCCCTAAACACTGCATAATTTATTAGTACTGTTTGTCTTTCATTTGTATTAAAAAACAATACGACGCTCTCCGTATGCTTTGGAAACTTGATTTTAACTTCAGTCATAGTTCTGAGATCCACCCTGCTGATAAGAAGCTGTCGCACTGCGGTGCAGTACTCTGCACCTTACTTTCCGGCTCCCTTGTCGATGGGTATCGAAATTATTGCTTTCTTACCCTAAATATTAGTGCTCTGGGCATCTTTCACATCATCTCCCAGGACACAGGTGTAAGAGTCTGTCAAGGAGAGTTCAGAAGTGGGATTGTTGGGTTGCTAAAAGCAAATTCAAGTTTGGAGACAATTTCATCCTTTTTCAATGTGATCGTACCGACTCATGCTCCCATTGGCAATCTAAGAGTTCTCACTGCTCCACATCTTTGCCAATCTCAGACTTCCACCGGAGTTCAAATTTTAAGAGTTTCAGTTCAACCATAAGTCCTGCTGGTTCCAAAATAGTTCTGATTTTGACTAGCAGAAAGAGTACTGGCTTTAGATCGACAGCTGGGTTTACTTTCCAGCCCTGACATTTAATGTTATAGTTTTGTGGTGTGTAACGTCTTTAGACCTCAGTTTCCTAATCTGTAAACCTGGGATAATAATTCCCACCTCAAAGGTGAAGTGAGGATTAAATGACATAACCTACGAAGGCACAAGAGGCAATGCTTGTGACATTGCAAGTCCCCACGAATGCTCGACTCCATGCATGACGCTGCAGGTGCTCACAGCTGGGAGCCACCTCTAACTACCCATGTTACCATTGCGTGGTCACCATATGTGCTGTGCCTCTCCCCTTATACCCTCACTGCACATGGCAACACACCCAACCCCCGGACAGGATGGCTGTCCCCAGGGCCCAGCCCACACAGCCACGCAGATAGTTATCTGGGTGTTTCTCTCACTTCAGTATCTCACCAGGCCCCTTGGTGCCTCAGTAACTACATCCCTCTGGAGAGGGGCCAAGGAGAGTATCAAATATCAAATCCACTTTGAAACGTAGCTTGTCAGACTAACCAAGAATGTTCCCGAACAAGTCTATAATCAGCACCGTGTTTCATTATTGCCTTTGGAGGGTTTGTTCTGGGAAGTTCTCTAAATGGAGAGACCAAAAGGAATTCAAGCAGGGAGCCCATCACCTTGCCCTCCCGCCTTTCCTGTCAAATCAATTTCTATTTGGTGATCCATTTTTTAAATCTGTTTTCCTTCCACTTATAGGTCCCCTTAAAAACCTCTTGTCACTTCCATTTTGATTTGCTCACCTTAAATAGTCAAAGCACTCATTTCAACAAACATTTAGTGAGTTCCTGTGTTATGTGAGATACTGGTGAGGTCGGCAACACAAAGATAAGTGAGATGAGAAACTGGTCCTGTCCCACAACACACTGCGGCCGACGTGCGTGGACCATTATGACGGCACCCGGGAGGCGCTCCATCTGAGGCTCAATGAGCTGTCACAGAGGAGTACAGACAAGGGGGCACGTTCAGACCGGGGCATGAGGAGGCTGGACCTTGGGCCCTGCGTGGGCAGTTGCCAGGTGAGAAAGGGGAATGGGCACCTGGGGAAAGGGGCACGCTGAGCAGGGTGCTGGCGGGGGCTGGCTCTAAGGAAATGCGGCAACGTGGGCAAGGGGGTCGGGAGAAGGCAGGTAAGTTGGGGTAACTAGCTAGAGCGGGGTGCAAAGGTCCTCAACCCCCGACTTGGCCACCACCCACTCCAATGTGATTCTGTAGCACTCGCTGATGTCATCCTGAAGTGAACCCCAGAACCCCAACTTTTAAGGTCTAAGCACTGTAGGATCCTAAAATCATTAATAAATTCACCTAGTTTCTTAACTTTGGTGGACATGATTTCCAGAAAAATCACTGATGACTTTCAAAAAACTCCTGTGACTCATTCCCTTTATGGGCCACATTAATATGAAAGGAGCGCTTTCTGGTTAACACATTCTAGCCGTAAAATAATGTTTTCTGATTTTACATCTGATTTACGGTGCCACAGACCTGAAATGCTGAGCATGGACACGGGGACCCACATGGGAGAATGACAGTTTGACACGAGTGTGGGAATGAGTCCAGCCGGGACAAGAATCTCAGCAGCCCAGTGCCCACAGGTCATCGGACAGGCATGACAGTGACACTGTCCGAGAACTTGATGCCGGCTCTGACTGGGGTACGGGTCACACTGCCACATCCAGCACGGACTGCGGCACACACATGCTGCTGGCACAGGGCATCCCTGACACCTGGACTGCAGGAGATACGGCAACAGGTATGGAGAGGGTCCTGACATACATAATGCCACAGGAACACAGAGGACAACAAAAATATGACATACGTGAGGGGATGGCCGGGGTCTGAGATTTTCTGGCAGTAACACACGTGTTGTTTATCCAACCTGAGGCGGCTCACAGATCAGAAGGGACCACTTCATCTCCCACCGCCGTCTCCCCGCTGGCCGGCACCTGCCCCTGCCCCACCTCCCCACAGCCACTGCAGTCCCCTCCTGAGTCCTTGGACACCTGGAGCCCTGGCCTGATCCCGGGCCATGGCATTTGACGCTGAGACCTGACACTCTTCTCACACTTCAGGCTTCAGCTCAGAGATCACTTCCCTGGGGAGGCCTTTCCGACCATTCTATCCAAGGGAAGCCTCCTGCCCCCCCCACCCCCCCACCCCCACCCATGCTTCACTCATCGTTCCCTCCACAGCACTTACTGCAGCCGCAACATTTCTTTTGCTTGTGGGCACAGACCTGACCTCAGTGTGTGCTGTGTGCTGCTGCCCAGCAGGCATTCACCTCACACGTGCTGAACGAAGCCGGTATCTGGGGTGGACATGCCAGCATGCAACAGAGGACAGCCTTTAAGACATGGAGCTCAGAACTTTTCCATTTATTCAGTGTCCTCCCCCAACTCTCTAGGCTCAATAAAACACACTGCCGTTGGAGAAAGAGGACACACTCATTTGTGTCTGCGTCCTGGAACGGTGCCTGGCACACAGTCTGTCTTTAATCAACACGGCCCAGACTGGACACCAGGAGAGGCTCGCAGAAAGGTGCTCACGTTTCACACAGAGGTAAGAAGGCCAGGTGTGAAGACAAAGACTGTTGGGTATATGACCCATGTGAGAGGTAGCTAGTTTGTAATGCTCTCTTTACACTCCACCTTCCTTCCAAAAAGACACACTGCAGTGCGACCCTGACAGAGAAGCCAGGACAAAACGTCAGGCAGAAGCTGGGACACCGGCAGAGGGAAACCAGGACCCATCCTGAAAACACTAAGCCCAAGCTACAAATTCCACTGTGTTTTCCAGGGGCTGGTAAGGAGATTTCTGCTATAACAGGTCAAACTGTTGATGGAATTAAGGGGGTCCTCAGCAGAATTGAGGGTTGGCATGGCAGTGTCTTTTCACTAAGGGCCGCCACACAGAAGAGAATCAACTTCTACTGTGCTGCTGTGAGGGACGGAACACGGGATAATGGGTGCCGGGAGGACCAGAGGCTGACCTCACCCGCCCTTCTCCCGACGGCACCACCAGCCTCAGCCGGCCCTCATCAACGCGTGCCAGTCCCACGTTTCCACGTCGGCCTGCTCTCCGCTCTCCACGCCGCCACCCAGCCCTCTCCTCTCTCCTCCAGCCTATCTGCCACCCACACAGTTCCCTGCAGGTCTCAGGGCCCCTCTGCTGAAGACTCCTCTGGCTCTGGCCCATCCTCTCCCACTCCCCCTGCCTGACTCAGGATAAGGAGAGTCAACTCCCCCAGTCTATGTCCCCCCCACGGACCCTGCCCCCACGCAAACCTCCAAACCGTGTTCTACAAGCATGCTTCTGGGAGGCAGCACCCATGTGCTGCTGCTGCCACCACCTTCTCTCCTTCGGATGTGAACTTGGCCTAACCCTCCATGTCACTGTTTTTCTTTCAGGCATCAGGTCACGGGAGGGATGCTCTCTCAGCCTGGAACCCTTTACCCCTTCCAGACCCCCCTCCCCTCCTCTTGGCTGATTCTGCCCCTGTTCCTGCCCCTGGTCCCGCTCCTTCCGGAAGGCTTCCCCCGCCCCCTGGCTCAGAAGCCTGGCCGCACTGATGGTGCCCTGTACACACTTCCACGGCAGGTCACACAACTGTTACCGACTTTCCTGCTGAGCTTATTACACCTCCATGCTCACACCTGTCTTGTCTACTGGTCACCCCCAGTCTGCCACAGCCTGCACAGCACACAGAGGGCAGAGGCGCCTGGCAAACACTGGCTGGTCAGGGCTGAGCTCTGTGGCCCTGACCCCTCGGCCAGGACTGTGAGGGACGGTGCCCACACAGGAGTGGGCACAGGGCAGACCGCCTCGGAGGCTTCCCCAGACCCTCGCTCTCGTGGCAGAGTGGCTACACACGCAGAGGGATGCATTCTTCCTCTGTCTGACACTGGGATAAGGCCCCCTGGGCAGGCTGGGGACCCACCAGGAAGCCCAGGCTTAGAGCCACGGTGGGCCTGCACGTGGCAATCGGAAACCTAGGATGCCTGAAAGCCCCACCTGTAACCGCCAGGCTGGAACACCTGAGAAGCTCACCTTTTCCTTGGTTGTGTTCCGATTTGCTTGACAGACTTTTCCTCCGTGTAAAAAAGCAGGCTTCGCTGTACAGTGGACACGAGCAGCACTCTCTGGCTGTAATCCAGCTGCACGATTGAAGACGGCTCTTCCAACACCAAATGGGAATTACAGACGCCCTGTGAGAGAGAGGCCAGTCAGACCCCGTTCGAGGTGATGTGCAAGTGCCTGCCTGCCTCTGTTACTAGAAAGCGCCCTTTCTGTTATTTTTACTTAGGTCAATTTACACCTTAAAACGTAGGCTCTAATTCTCGTCAGGTTCGGTGTCAATCCACTGCAATAAAATTATTTGGAAAAGTCCTTACTAATGAGAGAAAATAGTCAATGTTAACACCTATTTCAGGCTACGTCAAGCTTGACAAGAAACATCTGAAAATTCTGTATGGTTTCTTTAAAAATGTTATCATTAGATAGTTCAAAGAAGAATTCATAAAGATCTAAGCAGAAATATGTTGCACCCTGTGTATTAGTATAATAGAACCCAATGGGACATTCTATAAAATTATTGTGACAACGACCAGCTAAGTTCATATTATACTTCCCCCACAAAGAGTTCAAAGCAATTTGGGGGACATTTTATCCTTGCCCACTGAAAGGATCAGAGAAAACTGGATGTTGGAAAGAAACTAAAATGGTATTAAATATATTAAAGAAGAAAAGTAAAATTATACAAGGCATTTTACTGCTAACACAAACATATTTCTTGGTGTCAAAGATCTGCTTTTAGAAGTCACTCTTCTCCTGAACCAGTTTCTTCAATTGTTTAGGAAACATTGATAAGATATCACAGACCTTTTTCAGAGGGGAAAAAGGGAGCAGCAATCAGATTTATTAGTTAAATTAATATACAGTAAAATTCATCCTTTTAAGACATATGATTCTATGAATTTTGACAAGTGCATAAGTTGTGTAATCACTGCTAAAATTAAGATAGAGCAATTCCCATTACCCCCTAAACACTGAGGACTTTTGAGACAGATTTTCCTCCTACCTTTGCAGTTATGCAAACAGTAGCTTTTCAGTTTTTGATTTAGCTTGGAATGGAATGAAATTTATTGTATTGAATTTGTAAAAGCATGCATGTCTTTTTTTTGCAAATCTCACAAAATACTTTGTCTTTAAAAAACTATCAGAGGGGCCAGCCGAGTGGCTCAGTCGGTTAAGAGCGTGAGCTCTGAGCAACAGGGTCGCTGGTTCGATTCCCACAAGGGCCAGTGAGCTGTGCAAGAGCTGAGCTGCCAACAGGTGGCAGGATGGCTCAGCTGGTGAGAGCACATGCTCCTAACAACAAGGTTGCTGGTTCGACTCCCGCTCTAGATAGTAGGCTACGCCCACCTGCAACTAAGATTGAACACAGCACCTTGAGCTGAGCTGCCCTGAGCGGCCGACTGGCAGCCAGATGACGCAGTGGTTAGAGCGTGTGCTCTTAGTGACAAGGTTTCCGGTTAGACTCCCGCATGGGATGGTGGGCTATGCCCACCCACAACTAAGACTGGACGGATGGTGACTGGACTTGGCGCTGAGCTAGCTGCACCCTACACAACAAAGATTGAAGGGCAACAACTTGGCTGTTCCCCTTCCCCAATTCCCCAATAAAAATCTTAAAAAAACAAAAACAAACAACTATCAGAACCTCAGTAAAGCTGAGAAAAAAATAAGTGGAGTGCTAAGGACACTGCTTTCTGCCCATGACTCTCTCTCCATTTCTGGAAATGGGGGTGCATAAGTAGTGTTCTCTGCACTGCCCACAGGCCAGGGGAGTGGCGGCAGCAAAGTACAAATGCGAGGGACCCTTAATGATCCTAACAAACCATCCTGCAGAGCAGCGATTCTCAAAGTGTGGTCTGCAGTTGCTGAGGGTCCCTAAGGTCCTTTTTGGGAGACTGCGAGGTCAAAATCATTTTCTTTATGACACTTAGGTGGCACTGGCCTTGTTCAGAGCTGACATTTGTACTGATGGTACAAGAGCCATGGTGGGTACAGCTACTGCAGCCTGGGTGCTTACATCAAGCAGGGCAGTGAACTGTTGTCACTGTGAGTTGTCACTGTGCCCTGCCCCACCATGCGCTTGCAGTGAAAACATGCATTTCACTGAAGAGTGTCTTTGATGCAGGAAAACTATAACTTCTTTAAATCCTGACCCTTCGGTACATGTACGTCTGTATTCTGTGTGCGTGCACACACAGCCCTACCCTGCGTCCTGGGGTTCTCTGGTCTCTCAAGGACAACACTCGTGCGGCCGTTACAGCTGTCGGCTGAGCCAGCTGCTTCTTCACAGGCACCTTTTTTACTTGGAATACTATAATTATTCCAACTTGGGTACTCGGCAGACATTTTCTTAGAAAGAACAAAGTGAGCCTGTCACCTCTAGGACAAGTGATAGTATTTGTTGCTGATAATGAAGTTCAAGTGTACAAGTGAAGATTAGAATTGGAAAACATGTATCCACTCTTGTGAACTTGACAGGTTCCCAGACTTTACTAATCAGGATGAAGCTGATGCTTCCTTTGATAGCATATAATTAAATGTTCAACATTTGGAACATCTGCCTCACTCGGATCAATATTTTCTAAGTGACCAATGCATCGTGTTACAAGATCACGCACGGGTCAAAGAGCTGTTCAGAGAGCAAGACAGACCAGTGGATTTTACTGGGACAGAGCACGAAACATTCACCCATATGATTTCAGATTCCACACTGTGACCAACCTTTAAAGAAACTACCATTAGTCAACTTGGGGATATGATTAAAGAAAAATATCCACAATTCTCTGAAAAGGCTCCTAAAATACTCCTCCCATTTCAAACTATATGTCTATCTGAGGCCAGAGTTTCTTTATGTTTTCCAACCAACACAGTTATATCTGCAGCGGTTTGAATGCAGAATCCAGCAGTCTTCTACTAAGCCAGACATTAAAGAGATTTGCAAAAATGTAAAGCAATTCCACTCTTTCTACTTGTTTTGAAAATACTGTGTTGTCAGAAAAGTCATGACGCATTTTTGCAACGAAAAACATAGAAAAAATAGGACATGACTTTCCCGACAACCTAAGTTATTTTCACAAAAATGTTACTTATATTAACATATAATAGGTTTATGATTTCAAAATAAAATACATATTCTAAAATTTCTCAGTTTTAATTTCTAACATGGCGTGCTCAGTAGATATAACTCATACAAACAACAGCGCTTTGGGATCCTCTTTTTAGGATGTAAAAGGGTCCTGAGATAAAAAAGTTGGATAACTACTGCTAGAGAATATTTGTAAAAAGTCAGTCTTGGGTCAGAAGGACTAAGGGTCACTCGGCTAGGAATTGCTGAATTCCTACCATGTGCTAGGAATGAAGGCCACAAATGAGCCAACAAAAGGATCAAGGCTCGGACCACCGAAGAGTGCGGTCCAGCTGGCCTGACCAACACCACAAACAGCACAGGCCGCTGGAGGCCGCCGCGCATGCGCACACGCAAAGGTGTGGGCCTGTGGAGCCGAGTCTCAGTTTGAAGTTGAGCTCTGCCAGGTATTATTAGCTTGTGACTGGGCTAGTGATGGGATCTCTGCGGCGGTTTCTTCTATTGATTGGGGATGGGAACACATAGCTCAGGGTACTCTGTGAGGATTAAATAAAATAACAAACACGAGGTTGGGGGGCTGGGACCGCGCTGCCACCAAACCTCCCGGCCTGTCACCTCTCCCACAGGTCATCTCACACAGGCAAGGTGTGGCTAGGGGCGAGCTTGCCACGCACAGGAAGCGCGGCTCCCTTCCAGTTATGATTATGAAATGCTTCACACCGTCTGCAAACCCTTCAAGGGACTGGGAATGACAGTGGCTTCTTTTCTAAGTATAGCAATAGACAACAGGAGAATGAAAAAGCGAGTGTTCCAATAGAAACAAAGGCCAACTCTTTTGCCCCAGAAGCAGAAGCTTATAAAACATTAGAAAAGGCCTTGAAAGAAAATGTTACAAGTAACATTTGAGATTATAAAGGGGGGATGATTGGTAATACAAACTGACTAAAAATTCAGTTATGAGTATTATTTCTGCAAATATAAGACGGTCACCCAATTTTCTGAAAATAATTTTACCTGGTCTAGATCCAGAGAAGAATAGACAATTCTCCCTTTGTCGTCGCCAGAGAACAATTTCATTCCATTGGGGCTCCAAGCCAGAGCTGTTATGCTATTTTTGTGAACACCAGTGACATCAAATCTCCGAAGCTATGAATAAATGATAAAAATACACACGAGAAAAAGGAAGGATGAATGCTGTGAGATGGAGCTATGTGGACAAGGTGGGATGCGACCCTCCTACTGAGGCAGGATCTGGGTTCCACCTGCCTCTTACCATTAAAACCCACAGGGAACAGCCAGAGAAGAGGAAGCCAAATTTAAATCACTCTTTTGTGCTTTATGTCCTACCAGGAACAAAAATGGTACCGATTATAAAGAACACAGTATTAAGCTTTTCTGAGCACCTATTTTCTAGGCACATGAGGATTTCTTGTTTTAAAACCCATGAAGAATTTGCCAACAAGCTAACAAATGCTAAAATGATTGGTGCTTACCTGTTTATTTCGCCCGGGCAATGAAGATACAAGTTGAAACACTGCCACCCTCCCAGAGGCTGTGCCTGCAGCCACCAGGTCGTCGAAGCAGCTCAGCAGCTTCACCACCGTGATGGATTCCGTTTTCCCCTAAAGGAGGGAACATCCAAACCCAAAACCTGTCGTAAAACATTACCAGTGGAGCGCAAAACTTCATCAGGCTGTAGCCTACACATACCCGACAGGAAGAGCGCACAGTTCAGAAAGGTAATAAATCTGTTAAGCCCTCCTTTTTCTTTTCTAGGTTTTTAAGCTCTGAAATAACCAAGTTAAAAACTGCATTTCTGATGAAGGAAATGCTGATCAGTCAAGTGTGACCACACTGAGCTCTCATCAAGAGCGTGTGAAGGAGCCTGACAGGACAGGCTCCCCCCAAACAGGAGTCTGGAGAAAGAAGAGCTCGGCCAGGTCCACGCTCTGCTTGCTTCTCGCAGACGGGACAAGGCATTCAGACACTGTGGTCCACGGTCTGCCTGCCACAGAGCCTCACTGTGAGGACCAATGAGATCACACACCTGGAAGTGCTTTATAAACGGTTCCTGGTGTGTTTCGGTTCTGAGATCAGTAATCATATTAAATAACATTCACTCAAGCTTCACAGACTGGTTTATTAAAATGCACGTGTACAAGCACTGACACAGATATTGAGGCTTCTGGTCCTGATAAATGATCATTTTTTAGTTTGAAACCATTCATTCAGAAAAATTACACAACAGTTTTGGCCTTGCTGAGACATATGGCAGAACTCCAATAAGCCACTTTGATCCGAGCCATCATGGTAATTTAGATAGTGGTCAACCTGTCAAATAGGTAAGCACACCCTCCGCATTCAGGGGACTGAGTCAGCTGCTATGGTAACAGAAACTAAAGTGGGTCGCAGTCCCTCCTCTTGAAGTTTAGCTGTGGCAATGAGACATGCACTTGAAAAGCCACCCACAGCCAGTGGGGATGCTAATGACTAAGCTCGCTTTCATCTTTATAGCTTTCAGGGGATTCTCATGGGCTATAAATATTCCTGATGCCAGATGGTGATACCGGGGAAGGGGTTGGGTCTTAAGCTACAGGAAGGAAAAGAGGAGCCCTTGAAGATCCCTGATCTTGCTGGTGTGTCGGTCAGAGGTGACTTGGAGTGGGGTGCAGGGACGGGGCAGGGCAGGCAGACCACCGGGAGCCTTGAGCGCCAGTTCAGGCCGGAGGTGGTACGCCCCTAGTCAGAGGAGTGGCAAACCGAACGGGCATGGAAGCAGTAAACCCTGTGAAGAGGGAAGACTCCACTAAGACCTGGTTAGAATGAAGCAGCAGCAATGAAAACAGCACAGCAACTCAATTCCTGAGCGTTTCCCCGTCCCAGGCAACTTGTGAAGCACTTTACATGTGTCAGCTCCTTGAACCCTCGCACAGCCGTGAGGGCAGGTGCCATGGTCATCCTCGTTTCACAGAGGTAAGGGATGTGTCTAAGGTCCCACGGCTAGAGAATCAGGAGTTCAGGTGCACCCCACTGTGGCTCCCCAGAGGCCCTGCTCAGCCTCCCTGCTCTGTGCTGACTCTGTGAGCGAGCTTGAAGGCTGCCCAGATGGAAGGCGTGGGAGGCTCGTGCAGAGGAAGGAGAATGAAGGACCTTGTCATCTGGAGCGTGGGGAACATGAGCAATGGTCCCATCAGCAGAATCCACGGTGCTGCTTTGAGGGAAGAAGGTGACACAACATGTTTAGGTAGGAATAGTCTTGACGTGGTAGAGGATGTTGAAAGAGTATTTTCCCTGGGAATCTGTAATTATAAAGACCACCACCACCACACTGGGAATCAAAATTGTTCACTGGAGATCATGCCATGTCATAGCACAAATTTAAAACTGTTGAGTAATTTTTCTGAGTGAATGGTTTCAAAATAAAACTCATCACTCAGATGGCCTGGAAGCCTGGATATCTGTGTGTGGTGCTTACACCCGTGCTTTTAAATAAACCAATGTACCAAGTTTGGGTTAATGTTGTACAATATGATTACCAGTAAGTGTTATGGTTCTTGGCATAAGAACCAAAACATCCCAAGACTCAGATTCTCAACACTTAACTCTAAGTCAGATAAACAAAATACACAGCTTCAACTTCCGACAGTACCATAGTCAAGCTATTCCAAAAACATTTCTCTCCAAACACCCTGAAATGCTGTGTAAGACACATAAAACATCCTTTTAAATGGATAGCTGATCTCTGGAAAGTAAAAAAAAAAATCTACAGGAGCCCATACGAAGAGTATTGCCAAACCAGAACAGAAGCCAGCCCTGAGGCCACAGGCTCCCCTGGGACTACCTGGCCATCACCTAGAGCCTCAGTGTTCTGACGAGGACAAGGCTTCCGGCGAGATGAGGTGGACAGCTGGAACCCATATCCTCTGTGAAAGCCGGAACCCCAGGAGACCTAACCCTCAGTGGAAGTGTAAACTAGGGGAAAATTGATTTGCTGGCAAATGGAGCTGACAAGGAACTCTGTCTTCTCTCAGGCCCTGATAGGAACGCACACATGAAGAACCTTTCCTAAGAACCTGTAATCACAAGCCTGCCCCTCAGCATCAGAGTCTGAATTTGCTCTTCCTTTCTACTCAGAAGCAGCTCCGTGCCAGGCAACTTAACGGAAGCACTTCCATGTTGGCAGCACCCCGAGGTGCCAGCAGAGTGAGTGTAAACCCGTCTGTGGAGTGCAGTCTGCACCCAGGTCCGTCAGCACTCGCAGGGGCTAGGATGAGCCACATAGCTCGTCACTGGAAATTACCATGGGGTAATAGGCCCCATGAGAAGAATCAGCTGAAAAAGGCAACAGAATTGGACCACCTCTCACCCTCACCCAAGTATTTCATTTAGATGGATGAGACCTAGGACATAAAAGAAATATGCTTAAAATTTTTAAAGAAATACAAAAGGAAATTGAAATATAAGAGCAAGCTACTATTACAACTCTTTCTTCATTAGGCAGACATCATCATCTATGCAGAAAACCTCAAGAAATCTACAAAACAGGATATAAATGAAATATACGAAGATCCATTGTATTTCTATATACTAGCAACTAAAAAAATCTGAAAGTGAAATACACTGGTTGTATAGTTCTTATATCACCTGTGAAGTGATATGCTATTACTTGAGTAGAATGATATAAAGGGAAAACTCAGCTTTCCACCTGTGAGTCTTTACTTTCACACAGAATACTTTATTTCTGATACTTATGGTCACCAAATATGTGGAGATTTTTCTATATGATACCATGCAAGTCTCTGACACCTTCTGGGTATCCAAGAATTTAAATCAATCCTGACAGCATCTACCTGGAGAAAGCATCAGATCCTACAGGTTAAGGGCTCAGTTCCACAAGACTGCCCCCTGCCACTTTAGATGCCAGTTGCAAGCCTATGTCATCACCTGTGCTTCTCTGGTTGATGTATAGATTGGAGGTTCCAATGACCCCCTCCTTGGGTTCAATTAATTTGCTCGAGTGGCCCACAGACCACAAGGACACTTACTTCCAAGCTTCTAATCACAGCCCGGTCTTTCTGATGACCAGCCCCCATCCAGGAGCCATCCAGGAGCCCACCCAGACTCACCTCAATAGAACCAGAGAGGCTTCCAGTGCTTTTATCACTTAGGAAGTTACAAGCGTTTTAGGAGCCCTGTATCAGGAACCAGCAGCAGGTATATACATTTCTATCTTATTATTTCACAATGGAATTAAATTAAAGGATACATACTGTAAACTCTAGAAAAACTACTATAAATATAGAACAGGTAGAGCCTAATAAGCCATAGTGCACAGAAATACAAAAAATAATCCAAAAGGCATTATGAAAAGAACAAGGTATAAGCAACAAGTGGGCTAAGTAGAAAACAATAACCAAGATGGTAGACTCAGTTGGGGGCAATTTTGTCTCCCCACCACCCATGGGACGTTTGGCAATGTCCAGAGATTGTTACGACTTGGGAGGTACTAGTGTCATCTAGTAGATGGAAGCCAGAGATGCTACTAAACATCCTACAATACATGAGACAGGGCTCCCACACCAAAATATCAACAGTGCCAAGGCTGAGAAACCTTGACTTAAATCCAACCATATTCATAATTACATTAAACATAAACGGTCTAAATGTTTCGGTTAGAAGGCAGAGATTATCATACTGGATAAAAAGGTAGGACCCAGCTTCAGGCTACCTTCTTTAGCTAGAAAGAAATGCACTTTAGATATAAATGCACAGATAAACTAAAAGTAAGAACGGAGAAGATATACCGTGCAAACTCTAATTATAAGAAAGCAGGAGTAGCGGCTGGCCGGGTGGCTCAGTTGATTAGAGCGCGAGCTCTGAGCAACAGGGTTGCCGGTTCGATTCCCACATGGGCCAGTGAGCTGCGCCCTCCGCAACTAGATTGAAGACAATAACTTGAGCTGAGCTGCCAGTGGGAGGCCAGAAAGTTAAAAATAATAATAATAAATAAAGTGAATTTGCTTTAAAAAAAAAAGAAAGAAATAAGGAGTAGCCATATTAATACCAAAGGAATATTACCAAAGGTAAAAAGAGACACTTTATAGTGATAAAAGGATCAATTTGACAAGAAGACATAATAATCCCAAGTCTATAGGTATATGACTACACTTTAAGTTGCTGAAGCAACACAACAGTGTGAATGAATGTACTTAATGTCATTGAACTGTACACTTAAAAATGGTTCAAATCGTAAACTTAGTTATGTATATTTTACCACACACAAAAAAAAGTACCCAAAGCAAAAACTGACGGAACTGAAATGAGAAAAACAAAAGCTCAGTTTTGTGGGGAGATGTCAACACTCCTCCCACAGTAACTGACAGAACAAGCGGACAGAGACGTCAGGGAGGACTCCAGCACTGCATTAGCGAGTGTACGCTGCAAAGCGGGCCCTGAGGACGGAATTAGACACGCAAGACATCCTCTGGGGAAACCCCGTGAGGGGGAGGGGAAGCAGGTGGAGGGGGCAGGAAGAACTGCCATCTGCAAGCTGGGAGAGAGAGCGCTGGAGGACGGAGGGCTGGAGAGGTCGGCTCAGACCGCAGTGCTGTCTATGAAAGTT